GTGTCTGGTCTAGTGTCTGGTCTTGTGTCTGGTCTTGTGTTGGTCTTGTGTCTGGTCTTGTGTCTGGTCTAGTGTCTGGTCTTGTGTCTGGTCTTGTAACTGGTCTTGTGTCTGGTCTTTTGCTGGTCTTATGTCTGGTCTTGTGATTGGTCTTGTATTTGGTCTTGCATATGATCTTGTTTTGGTCTTGACCTCAGCACTGCTCATAAGACACTCAATTTGTATGACATTAAAATACAGTGTACTTATTTCAGCTTGGAATGTTTGCTTACTGCTTGCTTGAATCTTGAATCTTGTTTCAGTCGGCCGCAAGCTTAAGCAGAAAAGTGGGTCAAGGAGATGAACTGCTGAGAGTGAATGAACAAACAGTGGTAAGCAACATTGCTTAGCAAATATCGAGTCTCTCTTGAAATGGTCAAGTCAGGAGAAGTGTGTTCGTTGTGTCATTTGAATGTTGCCATGCAACTTAGATGCTAGTCTGCTAGCTGTTAAAATATTTCAAGTGTTTAAGCTAAGATCGGATGAAGTTACAAGTTTTTACCTCTGGGAATGCAACAAAGTCACACAGAATGCAACCAGTACGGGTGATTCACAATGCTAAGCACAGTGGCTTTTGTGTTAAGCAGAAATCAGCTGAGTTACAAGGAATGGGCATTGGATGAGATTTTGGCTTGTAGCAGCTTTTTACTGAGTAAATAGTTTCCATGCTATGCAGACTTCTCTGTCTGACAGATTTACAGTATGCCATTTAGCGATTTGAATTTCCATCTGAATGAAATTCCCTCCCATCCCCTCCAATTTTGCCCCGTCACAGGTCAGCTGGGAACACAGTAAAGTGGTAGCGGCCCTCAAGCGTGACCCCATGGGGGTATGTCTGACCATCCGTAAGCGCCCCTGTAATCTAGGCTCCCCAGGCCAAGTCCTGAGGCTGGGTAACTCTACCCACACCCTGCGGTTGGGCGGCACCCCTCAGCTCATGCGTAAAGACAGCTTCCCGTCCTTAAAGTCGCCCATCCTCAAGGAGGAATTCCTCATGCCAATGTCACCCAGTGACGTGCTGATGACCAAGCAGAGGAGGTAGATATTGATTTACCCCTAACCCTCCCAGATCAGATGATTTTTTTTGTTGGAAGGAAGGGCAGATCTACTGTCATTTCATGTGGATCTTCATCTATGTAAAAATTTAAAAATATGCCATTGGTTTCCGTCACAGTGCTGGATTTTGCAAAATAAATGCTTATTGTTCAGGAAATGTACACATTGAATTATTTATTTCTTGACATATTACATTTGTTTCCCAGAGTATTGCGCAAACAGGTCTCAATACCACTGTTAGGTTTGGCCCTGCTTATATTTGAAAAGCAAAAGTTCATCAGTACAGAATACAAACTTTAATATTTACAAAGTCAACAGGTGCGGAATTGTAATGGAAATATTTATTCACTGTGTATAAATGAAAGTGGGCACTGTTTTTACAATAGGGCCACATGGAATAAGTTATCAATATATCATCCAAAGACAATTGAAAGAAAATGATACGGATGAGTGACAATTTTCCCCAAGTGTAAATGCCATAGGTATCCACCTTGAGCAGAAGCACCCCCTCATTGGTTGAAAAGAGCCGCGTTGGTCAGGAGTGTTGGTCAGGAGTGCTCTTGGTCCAGCTTGAGGCCCGTTGTACAGTTATATCTGTTGGCAAACGTACTGTGTGCTTGATTGCACATGACATCGATGCATCGAAAGTTTATGAGGGAGATTGATGCAGAATATGCCCTTTTAAGACTTGCTTGTGTCTGCATCTAAAGAACAAATTCAAATCAAGACGTGTACATGTATGTGCTGTGCTTTAACTGGTCCCCATGTCAGTGGTCCCAGTCAACGCATGAATCATTGTCGAGATCACCAAAATGAGCCGAGCGTATTGCATGCTATCAAGATGGCTGAGAATATATAGTGATGTGTTCGACTTGCGTGGTGCTGTCATGCATGTGCTGTGATATGGACCTGTGTGGTGCCATTTCATCAGCAACTTCCAAAGTATAAGCAGTGTGCAAACTGGTAACACCAAAGTCCTCTATTTGGTGGGCCGGATGGGCTTTGCAGGCTTGACCGGCCAAGCTACAATTTCTTTCAGTTTTCTTCATTGATACAACTGCAAATGAAATTATTTTCTCACATGGCCAAGGAAAGTGATGTGTGGCGGGATGATAAAGTAATGATTTATTTTATTAGGCACAGTACATTTTTTTTTAGAATGATTCTCAGAAGTCAAGGATGTGGTTCCAGATATAAATGACTGCCGCTGGCATTTTCTAAATGCGTCCTCCTTTCTGTCACAGCAACAGCGATCCGGAGACACAGGTTGAGACCCATGAGACACATTCAGACTCAGAGTCGCTGGTCCAAGAGGCAGAGCGAATCAAGCGACAGCGACGAGGCACCATGGGGGAGGCCTTACAGAGGAAAGGCAGTAAAAGCCAGACGCCAGAGGGCCGGCCAAGATCGCTACCCATCAACACGGAAGAATTAGAAGCTGAAGGTGGGATTTCATTTCACTCTTCTACGGAGTTGTTTTTAGCGTAGCGAGTGACTTCAGCGTTTAACCTGCACTGCTGTGAAAGTAGCGTTGTGGTGTAATTTTGTTCTGGTAGTTTTGGTCTATTAATTTTTCTCTCCACACTATTTCAAGCCATGGAAAAATTTTCATGAATCTAAAAAGTTGACAGATATTTTCCTGGTAACGAATGATTGTTAAAATGTGTGATCAGTTCTTGTGGAATTTACCAGAAATTATGGAGTTTCTGCCTCTTCCTTTTTCAACATTTCTTACAATGGATGGTTTTTCATTGTATTACAGTGGCGCTATGGAAGGCGTCCCCTATCTCTAGTAGGCCAGGTTTTTCACCAATCGCAGGCAGTCCAGTCAGCCCAGCCTCTGCAAGCACTCCCCAGGCTTCCCCGTCATCGCAAGGAGACAAGACCCCGAACCGAACCCCCAACTCCCAGGAACCACTGGCCAGCCCAGATGGACCGGCCGAGGTCAAGAAAGTGACGATCTCCACAACAGAGGACTCGAGCCCATCTAAGCCTGAGATAAACCCCTTGGGTTTGCCCCCCATCCTGGTGAAGCCAGAGGTTGAAATTAGCAAACCAGCAGACGAAGTCAGTTTTGAGGATGCCATCAGTACAGACGAGACCAAAACCTCGTCAGAACCCGACCAAAAAAAGACAGATGAGACTGCATCAGTTTCCCCAGATCCTGTGTCTGAATCCAAGACCACAAACACCAATAACAATGTGGACACCTCCATGGGTGCAGATGGCCAACAGGGGGTCTCAGCTGGAATGTCAGGGGTCATAACCTCTGACCTTGGGGATTACGTCCTGATTGAAAACAATGACCTAACTTCACCTTCTAAATCTGTAAGGTGAGTGTAGTTTGAGATGACGATCGGCTTGTTGGTAGTGCATATTTCTGTTTGGTCATGCATTTCTAATTGTAAAATTACCTACTAGTAAAAAGTTGTACTTATTGAGGTAAAGCATTGTACCAAACAAACATATTTGATTAATTAATTTACCATTTATCACTTATGTCAAAGAAAGCCTGCTGCTAAATTGTTTTGCCTTCTTTTGCATGGACGGTTTCTGTATTATGAATGTCATTTCTGTGTACAAAACGTTGTGTTATGACCATGGGAATCGTTGATAACCCCCCTAAAACAATCAACCTGTGTCTTCATCACTTCCACAGTTTCTTTGAGAGGTCCCAGTCCATTACACCATCACTTGCCTCAGAAGTTTCTGTGACTTCCGTGAGTAAAATCAAACCCCTATCATTTTTCTGATTAACCCTAACCCTCCTCAATCCTTCACCTGTTGGAGGACTGAGGAGTGTTAGGGTTGACCTTAATCCTTCCACATACCTCAAAATGATTTTTAAATCATTTAAACTTCAATTCTCGTCATTATAATTACAACTTATCTTCCGCCCTGTTAAATGTTTTTAACAAGTGTTATTGGTTGTCTTCCCTCAACCAGAGTGGTGTTAGACTCCGCCCCAAGAAGACCAGGAAGATGAAGTATAAAGTTTCACGAGGGGTGTCGTGTGTAGACCTCGGCCCGGGGCAGTGCCAGGGTTGGCTGCACAAGAAGTCGGACACCAAGCAGACGTTCCGATCCAACTGGGTCGAGATGTGGTTCATTCTCAAGGACTTTGTACTGTACTACTACAAAAACAAAACGGTAAGCCTGACACATTTCAACGTTTTTTTATTTTGAGTGCTTTGTAATAAAGTGCCGTGCAGTTTAAGCTTCCCTACTCCAAGCTACGTGCATTGAAAAGTCATTGGCAGGCTTCAAGTTGATAAAGTTTCTTGATACGGAAATGTTCTAAGCACAGGAAGTGGTTATGAGCAAAGTTTACCCGATAAAAGTCCATGCAGTGTCCATAGCTTGTTGCTGGTTACCGGCTGAGTTTCGCTGAAGAACAAAAAATAACCAGTCCATTGCACAGTGTTGGTTGTTAAGGAATTTTTTCCTGCAAAATTGCCAAGGGAGTTGACATTTCTGAATTTGAACTTTGTTGTAGGATGCAAAGGCCAAAGGAGTGATCTGCCTGCCTGGCTATCTCATCTCAGAAGCCCCCGAGTCAAAGAAGGAACAGTAAGAAACAAATCCCTGTCTCTCAGCAAGGTTTTTGTCATGGTGTATATTTGACAACAGAGTTACAAAATGACTTCAAACTGAATGAAATAAAATTCAACGTCCTCAACTTTAGTTATTTGTTTTAAGTAGCTGGTTGTATAGCAGTTTTCATGGTGATACCTCAACTACTTTTGAAAACTTTGTGAATCGTGGTTAAAATTTTACCAAATTCCCACGAAGTAAAGCATAGAAATTCACCCCTTCTAGATAAAAAAAATATGTGTATCATCCAATTTTCCTAGTCAGCTGAAATAACACAAAAGTGATAACAGAAAGTTATGTCCACCCTTAATTTTTTCATTCCTGGATCTTTCCTCACTGTCACAGTCCATCAATGCTGTTCCATGCCTTCGTTTTTTTCTCCCATCCCCATCCTTTGTTTCCTTTCCTCTTCTATCACTCTTCCTCTTTTGCCATCTTTCATCAATAGAGGGTTTGCGGGGCTGCCATCTTGCGGGCCAGTGCTTTTGTTACACAGGGTATGCACAAAGGAGATTTCCCTGTGGAACAAAAGATCTGTCCTGCAAGATGGCTACCATGCAAAGCCTCCATACTCATGTTTGCTTAAGTTCCAAAAGATTCCGCCAGTCACTTTCACTCTTTATGCCTTTTTTTGGGATAAGTGCATTCAAGGCTACTCACAAGGGCACAAGGCCAATCTACTTTGCTACCCATCGTCAGGAAGACAAAGAGAAATGGATGGGGAAGCTTGGCCTTGCAGCCATCATGTTCACGGACGAGAAGAGGATGCGGCAGTCCGTCATCTTTGAGTCCGAGCCGTCGCTGGACGTTGGCACCATGATGCAAAGTGAGCCAAAGAATCTCATAGCAAGTTTAAGAGGACTGAAACGTTGGGTCCATGGTGAAGGCGTTGTGTGGTTATGAACAAGCCGTGATGTTGTACTATAGGCTTGTACCGGTTTATGCCTGCGTGGTGCGGAAGGATGTAAACTGAATTTCATCTCATCCTACGCAAACTTGTCCAGGCATTGTGCACTGAGACAATGCCATTTAAAGTGATGGCTTTTCATCTCTCCTTGTTGCCATTGAGGGAGATCTAATGCTTGTTATCCATTGTGCTCAAAATCTGAATGATATAGGAAGCTATTATACCAGCCAAAACTACGGCAATGACAGTAGTCCAAACGGAAAAGTGTTAAGGCTCCAAACCCCAAATTGACAGAGATGTGTTGATATGTAAACTGTTCTTCTGTGTCCAGGTGTTGATGGTTACCATAGTGAGAGTGATGATGAGGACAGAAGCGACAAGTCGGGTCCCCTGTCGCCAACCTCCAGCGACAAGTCCGATGAGAACTCCAGCGAGGCCGGCTCACCTCAGCATAAGCTCAAGTACCGACGAGCCCAGACAACCCCCAATCTGCACTCCTTAGGCCACGAGTCAGGTACCCCACCCTCTCTACCCAAACTCTACAGGAAAGGCCAAAAGGAGGGTATTGGCTCCAGTCCCAACTCCCCCAAAGGGAGTCCTAAATTGATGCAGCGCGTGATGCACAAGTTTCGAAGGCACAGTCGGGGGAGTTTGGATATCGAAGCGGGGGACGCAACTGTCCTGCAAGGGAAATACAACACGAGGAGGAACTCCTCCCCATTTGGTAAGAGGTGACTTCAGAACGGGACAACGGTACTCAGGGTTTGTTTTGCAGAAGTTGAGAAATTGATTCGTTCGATTTTCATCTCTCGAGTTTCCTGTTGCAAAAAATGCTCTCTTCACAAACTGAATGTTCGGCTTGTTGAATCTTGCAAAACTCCAGGCTACAAACTACCTATGCAGATGTTTTTTAAGGACAATCAGAAATCCGTGTTTGAAGCAAAACAATCTGCATCAAGTTTGGCCTTGTTTTATGGATTTTTTACTGCAAAACTACAGTGACACATGGAAAATGCCGTATTGAGTATGGATTATTGTCACCATTACATCAAACCCGAGCATGTTCCCCTCAGCCAAGTTAAATTTTTGGAAGTTGGACTTTTTATCCATTGTCAATTTCAAATGGATCAGTATCTCAACAGTGACAGACAAACCCTGTGTTATGAGGATATAGTAACTGGGTTTGTTGGGGCATATTTTGAAAAACAACTAAAATGTTGCCAGAAAAGGACAAAACGTCTTTCCAGTTGCCATATCCTCAGTCCCCAGTTTCATACATGGACCAACTGTCTTTCTGCACATATGACATAATTTTATATTGACATATTTCACCATAAAATGAACTTGAAACTTTGATGTATATTAACCACTTTTAAGATTTATGGCTCTCATGCATGTAAAAGCGTGCATTCAGAGTTCTTATAACCGGTGCCCGCCAATGGTAGGCTTTGAGACGTTGGTGGCAGCTGACATATTGGTCCTTTTCCACAGTCTTTCTTGTGCTCAGAACTATGTGCACAGTGTACGCTCAGAAAAATGTGTACATGCTCAGAACAGACTGATTTTTTGCCCCCGCCAACCATCTCAAAGTTGCCCATTCTTGCCATATCTATCACTGTGTCTGTAATCCTTTTGTGCATGTCATGAGGGCATTCTGAAGTCATGGTTGGATCAGTGTCTCCCAGTTATCACTATATCTGTCACCGTGGCTGTTATCCTGTTTATGCATGTAATAGGGCGTCTTTATTTCACCGTTGGACCAATGTCTTCCAGTTATCACTGTATCTGTCACTGTGTCTGTCATCCTGTTTATGCATGTAATAGGACATCCTTATTTCACTGTCGGATCAGTGTCTCCCAGTTATCACTGTATCTGTCACTCTGTCTGTCATCCTTTTTATGCATGTAATAGGGCATCCTTTCTCACAATTTTATTAAACTATCATATAGCTCTCTGTATAACACTTTTCATCATTCATAACTTCATTCATAAACAAGTTGTAACTAATTATTGTTTGACCTCATGACCCCTAGAATTTATTTCATAACGTTTTGTATTTCTCCATTCGTAATCTTTTACTTTCAGTGTGACATTAGCACAGAATTAATCAATGTTCAGAGTGTGCTGTTTGATAACATTATTAAACAAGTTTCATTGTCACTTATTAACCACTTTGTGCCGGGGCACCCGATACCGGAGATGTTGGCTTTATATGCAAAGTCAGGGTGCCCAAAAACGGGCAAAGGAGCCTGGCCTGGTAACAAAAGACCGTACTCAGAACAAAACACTGGGCTGCTGGGAATTGCCATCATTTTTTCAGTTGTCAATAGTGGAGGAAATCTGTCATTGTTTTGAATGATTATACCACTTTTTGTGGCATTCAGTGCGAGCAGATTACCACTGGGGACAAATGTGCTCCAGCACTCCAGGGATGAGCGATACAATACCGCTACACGCTAATCTGGCCCATTTGAAAAGACGCCAGCAGTGCACTGGGCAAGTTTCGGGAACAAAAGAAAATTACATAACTCCTCACAATCTGGGCTCTCTTTACAAGGCGGCAGGTCTGGCTGAAATACTCAGGTGTCAATAGATATTGTCTGTCAGATTAGAGTAGCCACCAGACAGTAGACAGCAGATAGTGTGGGTATAAATGTCCAGTAAATGAAGATATGAAGTGAAGAATTTTGGAAATGGAAAGTCCTCCAGGAATACGCCATTCAACTTCCAATTAAACCCAGCAGCATATGATTAATCTTCTATCCTATCCTTCTGGATCTGTCAAACTCTACCAAAAGGTTAGGGTTTTCCCCTTAAATTGCGTGAAAAGCTCCCCAACTTGTCCTTACAATGTGAAAGTTCTCTTGAAACTTCACTGAGGTGTTTTGTTTTTAATGACAAAAATTGTTTAGGCCAAAAAAATGTGATTTGTTTTGAAACCTGAAATGCCTTCCGCAAAAGAAGAAAAAGGACATAGTATAACATTTCACCTCCTATTCCAAACCCTTCCTCCTAGCCTCCAGCTGCCCTCCAAGTCCAAATCTTCCCCATCTTTCTTCACAGCACTAGCATGCTTTTATTCCTCCCTTTGAACCTTGACGCACTTCATGTCAGATCAGTAGCACGTGGGATGGATGGATCATTGAGCATTCATTTTTTCTCAACCCTTTTCTCCAAATGCACGTCTTTGGTCCATGGATTTATTCTCAGAAGTGATGACATTCTACACAAAAGAAGACAAAAGGTGGCTTAATAAGTAAAGATAAAACAAAAGTTGGTTCAGCCAGAGTTTTTTTATGTTTTACTTAAGTGAAGGGTTTTTTTGAAAGGCTAAATTGAGGAAATGGGATATTTGTTGATGTTAGACAAAAGGAAACATTTTGTGTGATTTTGAGTTGATTAGTAATTTTTGAATGGTAAGAAGTATTATGACATAATTTTTTCAAATATCAGAAATTGTTAATAGATGTGAAATTCAGCCATGGTATCAGACAAAAACATGGATTTTCATTAAAATTGGAACCGATGAATGGAGCAAAAAATTGTTTGGAAAGCTTTTTTTGTGTAGAATGCATCGCTTGTAAGTCACCTCTTTCAAACAGTCCAAACAGCATTTAAAGGAAACATATTTCTGAACATTTTTTCCCTCCAATATAGAGCTCGTTTCCCCAGTTGTCCATCCGTCAGGTATGTTACCCTTCCCCTTATTTGACCCTTCCGCTTAAGAAATTGGAAAGTATTTTTAACAATAGCACAGGACAGGTGATTCAGCAAGACAGTCATGATTGGCTCTGTAGGTTAGAAAAAGGCCAAGGAAGAACAATTAGCTTCTGTCGAAGGAAATTTATCGCAGCAGTTTTTTTATTTTAGGTGCATTCTGCATTTAATCCCCGATAGTATTTGGTGCCGGATTTAGTTTGCAGAAAACAAAGGTCTTCTGAACCATGGTTGGGGTTATTTGTCCAGTCAAACCAACTGCTGGGTACAGTGCCATGATCAGTTGATGTATATTCAGTCAAACTAACTGCTGGGTACAGTGCCATGATCAGTTGATGTATATTCAGTCAAACTAACTGCTGGGTACAGTGCCATGATCAGTTGATGTATATTCTTCAATATCATTTTATTGATATCATATTGGTTTATATTAAGTTGGTTTTTTAAAATTATTTTTTGACATTGATGTAGTTCTGTTGCTTTTGTTTTACTCTAAATTTGTTTCAGATTATAAAGTCAAATTTTTTTTCTGGTTTGCTCCCCAACATGGACACATCTTCATGTGATGTGGTTTGTTACACTTAATATGGCAATTGATGGGCGTGTGTATTCAGGAAACACCATTATTTCCCATGTCCAATTTACTGGGCTGCAGCTGAAGTAACACAGGCATCTATAGGAAGATGCTACAGCCACTAGCCCGAGGCTTCCCATAGGAACATGTGCTATGTGCAGTCACAGCCATAAGACACAGTCATAAATGCTGAGGGTGCTGTGTTGTGCCCTTTGGCAGTCTGCACACAGATCATTATAACATTGTTGATGGCCACTCCTGAATATTGGTCACAATTTTGACTGCGTTAGGATATTTGAATTGAATTAAAGCCTGGCTTACTCTAACCTTTCACCCTTAGATGAAGCCATGAGCCAGGCCCTGGTCACAGTCTTGACTGCGGCAGGATATTTGAATTGAATTAAAGCCAAGTTTTCTCTAACCTTTCACCCTCAGATGAAGCCATGAGCCAGGCCTTACAGGACCAACTGCCCACTGTGTCAGTCACCTCCCCTGCTTCCTCCCCAGATGCCATTGATGGCAGGGCGGCAGAAAATGGCACAGCATATCGTGACGACGCCCTCCTGGACCACTACATGACCCTGGTGGAGGACACCGGTTGCGTGAGTGGCTTGGAGAGAACCATAGAGGCCCGGACAAGCAAACGATTCAAAGAAAAAAAAGGAGCTCAGTTGACGCGGATCCACACGATCCTTGACAAGAACCCCGAGAAAAACAAGAAAGCATTACATAGACGTGCACTTCAGCGAACCTTAAAGGTACAGCCTGTAACTAGTTGGTTACGTTCTGCAACTGCTTGATTCTGCCCCGTGGAACTGTTTTACAGCCTGTCCGTTCTTACAGAATTCATCACTGCAAGATTACAGAAAAGAACACATTCTTGGCACAGTGCTCCTGAAATGTAATTCATTTCAAAACCTCATTTTGGCAGTTTTAGACTTGTCAGTCTTCTCTGTAAGAAAGAGAATGTAACTCCTTTGAAGCAGGACTGTTGATTATTGGACAATGGGTTTAACTAGTCTATGCGCTGAAGTGCACCCCGCAAGCGGCAAAAGAAAGACAGGTGGTTACAAGCGGGTTCTTGCATGCATTCTGCGTGTACACAAAGACCATACATGCCGCAATAAATTAATTACACGTACGCAGCGGGCTCCGTGTCAAACGCGCATATACTTGCAAGCTTCATGGCGTGCCTAGGCAGTGAGCACCAAAAAAAACCCACGCCCTCTCTGTTCCGCTTGGAGTGGATTAAAAGAATTTGTGAGATTTAACTTTTATTAACGATTGAAAATAGCAATCACAACTCATTGAACCTTCTACTAAAAACAAATGAGTTCTTTTCTTAAACTATACTTTTCTGAAATGGAATTTAATCCATCCATGAAATTTTTTTCTACTTTATCTACTATTCAATATCTGAGATTAGTCTTTTCTTGTACAATGAATGACTTGGTATTTTGAGGAAGCCATGTCACTGTCTTGTGTAAATTCTTCAACACACGTAGTTAGTGATCTTTGGGTGTATTTTTCCTATTCATAGGCCAAGCAGGAAGAGTTAAAAGAACTAGAGTCTCTCCTGGCTGAACCGTCCCTGTCAGCATCTAGTATCCAAGAATGGAGGACGTCTCACAAGGACCTGCTGGAACATGTCCTGAAGGGTCCGAAACCATGCAGTCCCAGTGACTCGGATTCAGATATGGAGGGGGATGAGAAGGGCAGAGCTGTCAATGGAAATCCAAATCGAGAATCAGTCGGGGCTGGTGATGGAGACGTCTTTGAAGAACCCAGCGGGAATACAGAAACTGTGATTGTGGCAGAAAACCAAACCTCGGCAACCACACGGACAGACTGTGGGGTCACTGCAGAAGATTGTGCTGGTGTTGGGAATAGGAATGAGGATGAAGCTGGAAATGTGGGTAGCAGCGACTCCAGGGAATCCTCCAAGATGGCCTCTCCTCAGGCCATGTCAGAGGTCAGTGGGATGGCAGGGTCGTCACCGGTCCTTGGAGATAACATCAGGGTCCGTACTTTCAGTGGGTCATCGGAAACCAGCCTCTGAATGCTTTCATGAATTCCGTTGATGGAGTTTTACAGAGTAACGACTGTGAAACTTTGAGGCAAAAAATTCATCATTTCAATTTATGGACGTTTACACCCACACCAATTACTGTCTGGTGGCCACTCTAGTCTGACAGACAAAATCTATTGATGCCTGAGTATTTCAGCCAGGCTTGCAGCCTTGTAAAAACAGCCCAGATTGTGCGGTGTTATATAACTTCCTTTTGTTCACGAACCTGGCACAGTGTACTGCTGACCTCTCTTTAATAGGGGCCAGATTAGCACGCAGCGGTGCTGTGTGGCTCATCGCTGCGGTGGTGGAGCGCTTTTTTCCGCAGTGGTAATCTGCTCACACTAAATGCCCCAAACCATGGTATGCTGTTTCAAAACAAGGCTGGATTATCTCCACTATTGAGAGTGAAAAAATATCGGTAATGCCCAGCAGCCTGGTCTTTTGTTCCGGGTATGGTATTTTGTTACAAGGCCCAGTTCCCTTTGTCCATTTTCGGAGACCCTGGCCTCGCGCATAAACACACGGTGCCTGAAATCGGGCGCCCCGGCAGGAAGTGGTTAATTCCTTCACCACAATTTGAAGCTGTTTACAGTAGAGCTGTAAACTAGAATAAAAAATCCAGGAAATGCTCTTTACATTTGTAGGATGTATATAATTTCTTGTGTGAGCTTACTTATCTTGTTTTAAAGAATCCGTATTATTTGTGAATATAAAATGTGAGACACCTCCCTCAAGGTAAATTTCAGCATTCAGGCAATGACTGCCTCTATTTTTGTATGGTTCTGTATGAAAACCCTTTCTGTGTATTTATACAACTCCTGTAACTACGTGTAACCAGAACATTTGGTGAGACGTGTTCAAAAAGAACTTCATGTCAATTGACTCGTACTGCCAGTTAGTGATCTATCTGCTGGAAGTCCTGTGAACAGTGTACTTTAAGAAGAAATCAATGAATTTAGAAAATTAAACTGTCTTGGGCATTTACTTCACAGCATCACAAATCTATTTCATAACATCACTTATTCTTCATAGAATAAGCGATGAATAGAATAGCGATTATAGATCATAGAATAGCGATTATAGATCATAGAATAGCGATTATAGATCATAGAATAGCGATTATAGATCATAGAATAGCGATTATAGATCATAGAATAGCAATTATAGATCATAGAATAGCGATTATATCAAATTGTACAGTTAATATTTTGTTGCCTTTTGTAAGTAAATGTGCTAAGTATTTTGTCACATTATGCTGATTTCTGGTTTGAGAAAGAAGGCAGCATGGTCTTCTGTTCCTTTTGCTATCAAGTTAAGGGTTACTAATGCAGTTTTCAGAAGTATTATAATTCACTCTTGAAAAAAAGTACAACCAAGAGGTATAGACATATAAAGGCATAGCATATTATTTTTATCTATTATTTAATTCAGGACTATGGGTGTGTTCAATTTTGTTTTGTATATTAAAATGAAAAGATTATTCAGACAAATGGTACACCGTTAATGGATTTATGTACAAAAGCTGTAAAGGGTGTTACAAGTGTACAAATTAAGATATGTACATTTAGCACTGCTGAATACTATGGAGAATGATTATTAAGAATTCAATTGTATTGTTGGAAAAGTATTTCTTTGTCTTCTGTTGACCAGTGTCATAGCTTGTAGTGCCTTCTGCATGAGGCAGAGAGCCAATAATAGGCCCAGTTTCACTTACATAGGTCGCTGGAATCTCTGAGGAATGCTGTTTCGTTTTTCTTCACTGTTTGGCTTCTACTTGATCATTTCTGTGTTTTAAATATGGGCATTTTTGTTTTACTTTTTGTTTACATAGTTTAACCAAAAAAGGATTACAAAGCAAATACTTGGATGGTTCTTTATCATATGACAAGTTTAATTTCTTTCATGTTTGTTTATACAAATTGTGTTTTTCAAAATAACAAGTTTGTGAATTTCCTGTTAATGTACATTTGTTGAATTATTTCATTCATCGCACAATCAAGCTCTTAAAATGTTGTCATGTGTGATCAACTTCAAATGGCAGGTGCACCAAGCCACAAGAGACAAGTATTCTGCCAATGCTTCAGTGAGTACAAACAAATATGAACCAAGTTAAGGCACACTGTCAGAAAGAGCTTGACTAAAATTCCCTCACCTGTGACATTAACTCACACATTTTGGCAGCTAGAGGGCGGGCTTTCTTGTGAGCAATTCTACTGTGCTTTCCAACTGGCCTTGTGTCTTAAAATAGTTTGACAGATGGCTAGTGTGGGAACACGACTTAGGTGAGCTAAAAACAACAATATACTAATGTCTACCATAGAGGTCATCCGACCAAGATCAGTTGACATCAAACCAGTGGTCAGCCATACACTGAGGGTTCCATTTGATGCTGCAGACCCAACACCATTCAAACTTGCATTGTTGAACGGTGCACACCATGTGCATGCATCCTCCTGCGATGAGATCAGAAAAAAATGATGACTTCAGCTGGTCAACAGAAGCGCAGCCCCCTGCCCTGTTTGTATTTGATGCTCTGAGTTTGCAAAGGAATTAGAGGTTAACATTTTTGACACATTAATAATTGATGTCAAATACTGTGTCTGGCATATGGACACAAAATGTCCACACTTGTCTGTGTTCCATTGCACTTTTCCAGTAAAGATTGTGCATGACGGTCATCTTTCCAGTAACTGCTTTTGTTACGGAGGGACACCACAAAAACTCTACTCATGTATATATCCCTGTGGAACAAAAGCTCTTACCAGAAAAATGGCTGCCATGCACATCCTCCATTGGAAGAATGCTTCATTGCCCGTGGAAGCCATTTTGTGTCCAGTCTTCAAAAGTGTTATGGTATTTTTCCATGCTGTAAGTTGCGCTTGTGTGCGTTCAAAAGTTATGGCTTCGGCTGAAAATGACGTGCACCTGTGGTAGCCACTGAGTAGCCGCTGTAGTCATTATCCACTGACTTATATGTGGCTCCAAGCCACAGCCACTCAATTTGGACGTTAAACCTACTTACCATTTTTCTCCACAGGTGCCTTGCATTTTGGGCACGGCTTGGTCGTCTTTTGGATGGTCTCTCGGCTTTGATTCAATTCCCACTGTGCCTCCGCCCCTTTCTGGCTCCTCACGGTGAAAGTGGCCCCACCCCCATCCATGACGGGTCCTGCCTCCATCATGACGCAGTCCCCGTGGTGGTAAGCATTGCGACACTCACGACAGAAAACAAACTAGGCAAAAGGTTGATGGTAATTTGGGTGAAGCCAATCAATTGAGTTCAATCGACTCACTGACGGGTACGTTTTGTGTTTCAACTACATTGTTACATGTAATGATACAATGTATAACAATTCCCTGATAAGCAAAGAGTGTATTACTGTGTAGCAATTGCAGGGGTAGGGTTCTAACCCTCTCGTCCTCCATTGGCACACTGATAAAACAATCACACAACAGAAGTCCTGGATTCAGGGTGTTTTGGGAGGAGGGCATTCTAATTCAGTACCAGATTGCAGATCTTCATGTCCCTTTGTCCTATGTTCATTGCTTACCCCGCATCCGTGACCAGCCTGTTGGACACACTCAATTCTACGTGATCCAGGGTCCGGCACCAGACCCGCCCCACACCCAGGGGAAGGGCAGAGTATGCCGCCATCTTGCAGCAAACATTCCTCTGCTCCAAATCGCTGATATCTGCCATACTGAACAAAGCAGAAGTTTTCCATTTGTGTGCTCCACCTTCCAAAGACCCAGTTTCATAAAATAAAAACTTGTAGCTTATTCTTTAAACTTGTTAAAGTAAATTCACCTTACATGTTCACAGACTAAAAAGGCCACTTTTGGGGAATTGGCTTAGTGTCAGTGTAGCGGTAGATATGTATTACATACAGTGCCAACATTTCTTTTGCATTGGGTAATACTTGCTTCAAAACTGGGAATTTGTTGATGGCTTCCTTGACTGTTTACTTCACATTGCTGCAGAACCTCTTCCCAAGAAGAGGTAACCTTGTGAAGATCTGGTTTAAGTCAAGGTTCACACCAACTGCATTATGTGGACCTCTTTCGTCCTCAGGCGCGTATGTGTGTGGAGGCATTTGAGACCTGAAAACATCCAAGAATTGTTACCAGCATCCTACCTGCTCTACACCCAGCACCCTGAAATGATGGGTCTCCTTGATGAATGAGTCGGGACATCCACCTGAAAAGAAAAGAGGGGAAAGCAGGAAAAAGATATTTTGATCAAACCAAAGGGAAACGAAATGAGAGAAATGTAACAAAACTCATGTGACGTGTTCTAAAGTGAGAAATGTTCAGCAGTGTAAATTTCCTGGGCAGAAAAGGTTTCTGCTTAGCACTGACCCCCTGGTCCTGATCCTACCTGGGCAAGGCAAGGTATAGCCCAGCTCTTCATCGGCTGTGAAGCCTCTCTCATCAAGTTTGACTTGACAGTAGGATGTGAAACAGTCTAGGCAGACAGTATGACGGCTCGCACAAGGAAAGACCAGCACTGGATTGCTGAGGAATACGTAACGACACAATCAAAGGCCGTGTTTCCAACACAAGACTTCAAACCAGAGGTACGATATTATAAAAAGTTTGAAAAAGTGGGTGGTTTTACAGGAGCACTGATAAAATCTGCATTAAAAGTTAGAGTGCTTATAACACAAGTTGACTTTCTGAGAAAATTCAACTATCTTTTAAAATGAGGCAGGTAATCCAAATACTTGGACTGGTTTTAATAATTTTTGTCTCACCGAATATCTTCACAGATGAAGCAGACTACATCCCTTGTGTTGCATTTGATGAGGTACAGAGCAACAGATCTGTGGTTGTCGGAAGTAGGATGAGTGCCGCATTTGAAATAAAACTCCTGCAAAACAATTTCAGAATGGAGAAATATCAGTTGGATTGCTCACTTTATTTCCAAAAGGCTTGCACAAAAATGTGAAACTGTCCTTGCTTGCTTAAAACTAAGAAAATTCAGCTTTGTCAAATACCTACAGCAATTGTTCCTGGACATCCGTCGGATTGGCAAGCTCCTGAGATCTTGACCGGTGTCAAGACGTCATCCCAGCAAGACGGATCCTAAAACAGCAACAGAGGAGTCCAGGAAAAAACGATAGCCAGTTACGTTCTCTGTGAAAAGAAACCAAGCTATGAAAATATCACTGAAGTTTTTCTACCGATGATATCCGAGATCCTTACCTGTTGGACAACAAACGTTCCCCCCTTGCATGTCCTGCAGCAAACTCGGAGCTTTCCTGGCTGAACTGAGCGGCAAGGAGACTTGCAGTACACGTAGAGCTGGGGTTTCAATCTCCTGGCTGAGACAGGCAGACAGGAGACGGAACTCAGAATACACACCCATGCTAAGAAAACTGTGAGTGCCGTTTCAAACGAGCATCAAGGATGCAAACACAGATCCTGATCAGATACATTCCCATCTTCTCTTTCCTCCATATCATGGATTGAATTGCTATTTCTCTCAAGCATAACCATCAAGTATATCCACACTTCATTTAAAATGCCAGTTGATAGCCATATATCGGGGCAACCTGGTTACATTTTCAAGAAGTACATACCAGCCTCATTCTTCATTAGCTCTTGATCACCTTGTGGTTCAAGATCAGCGATGTGAGCATCAAGGGAGCTATACCCTTCTTGTCCTCCCTCTGGTGGTGCCTCAGCTTTGAGCTGGCTCAACGCATCGTTGTCCCTTCTCCTTGACGATTGTTTCCTTGCTGCAAACAATGTGCTGTATTCTTGCAGCTGACAGTCCTGTTCGATTGGAAGTTAAAGTGCTTGGTTGTCAAGGGAATCATTTCACTTCTGTCCGCGGAGAGAAAGAAGATATGACCATGCTGCAGCAAAACTTAAAATCTATCAAAAGAAGGCAATATTACAGGTTTTGATGGCCGAAGCGCAAGATTGGAGAAGATTCTGTAGTTGTAACAACCACACAAACTGATTTTGAAGAAACATTCATTCATTCATCCCATATATGCAACAGGTGTATTTGACAAAGCCTAATTATAGGTTGTAAATCTTTACGCGATATATCTGTGCTGCAACATGATTTGCCCAAATAGCACAAAAGGGACGGAGTGAACGTACGTTTACAGCTTAGCTACAGAATCTACCAAATAAGCAGGCACCTCCGTGACCTTGTTTATGTTACCTGTGATTGGTTGGTATGCGAGGTCAGTGGGGACACCCGATCACACAATCTTTGTGCAATCAATGGATCTGATTGAACGATTTGTCAACAATTCCACCATTGGCCAATTGACTTTCTTTCAAATTGATGGTTGTTTTCAAGAAAGGGAAGTAAAGTTGGAGACAGATCATGCAGATAGATAGAGTGATCAAATCATGGTGTAGATCAGCTCGATTATATGCACAACATTCACAGGCACTGAACATGCCGAGCAGTATATTTTCAATTTCCATTTGCAATTATCCCTAGGGGCCACTCACATAACTGTTACCTGGTCACGTGACATAGGGAAGAAAGGGCATTCATTACCACTAGAACACTGTTCCTATAATAAGGAAAACGGAAAACGAAGTCCACTTTTTCAAAAGAAAGCTTTGGGAAAATATATAACCAAATTAATATTTTTCCACCACTGTTCCACCCTGATGAATTTTTTAAAATGCTTTTTTCAATCCCTTTACCTGCAATTTCAATCCATCATCCAATTGTTTCCCACAGAATATGACAGCAATGTCGGATGGTTTCAAATCTTCATCGCTATGGTAACGGGCAATTTCACTTTTCAAGCGTCCGACGGTCCACGCAGGTTCTACCGCTACGGTGCGACTGTACCCGCCAAACTTGACGACGATTTCAAACATTTCTGGCTTTCTGTTCCTCAAGCTCTTGGAGAGTCTAAGTTACTGAGTCTAAGCCTCCTGTAGTGTTAAATGAACATTGCCCTCGTGAGAAGTTGACGATCTAAATAAGTAGTAAGTTAGTAAGAAGTCCAACCTCCATCCATCCAACTTGCACAGCTTGAGTTTTCAATATTCATATACCGGAAATGAACGGAGGCTGCCATGTTTGTTGAAGAGCGCCCCCATGTTCTCGAGTGCGCCAACAAGTTTAGAAGTTTTGGTGAGTGCACCTTAAATTTTGGTTTACTTTTAGTGTTGTTCTTGGCATTTTCTAGTACGTTAAAACCGAACGTGTAAGTTTAATTTTTTTGGCCAAAAATTAAACACAGAACATTCACGTTTGACTTTATTCACTCAGGACCATGGCAAGGGAAACTCTACTGGTTCGTCAGTTTGCTTTTTAAAATTTTCAAGTGACACACCAACTTTTTTTTTTCATTTTGCACAAAAGTGTACCCGGCGCGAAGGGGAAACGCCGTCCAGTCGTCTTTTCCTGTATGTGATGGCAGCTTATATATACCGTGGCGATCAACACTAGAAGGACTGCCGGTCATTCCCATCTTGTAATGAGACGATTACCCAATTTGAAATCTGAAATATTCGATTGCCTTCATACGCTGATCAACTATTTTCGTGTTCTTGAGCAATAGTGTAAAAATGGAGCCCATTCTGGAAAATGGGACTGAGACTATTGGTTTTGTTGTCGATGGAAATCTTGGCAATTTAATCTGCCCGGTTGACTGCACAATGGGTGTTACGGCCGATAACAGAACTCCTTTCTTTTTAGTTTTTTTTTTAATTTTGTTTCTATTTTGCTTATACAACAGATGGGCATATTTTTTAGTACTCAAATAATAACTGCATTATTACAAAGCAATGCGCTCTTTTCTAATGTCAGTATTCAGTGTTTCCTTGAATTAATTTCACTTGTTCTGTTTCCACTCATAAACTATGCACACAGGATCATCCACGTACATATATCATGTCTAAAATGGGCAGATTAGATACCATTTGCCCTGTGTTTGTAATGGTGGTTTATGCGTCTCCGTATCTGGAGACTGTTTGCTTGTTAGAAGCTTTGATAGCTATCACTTGTGCCGAGTTGTTCGAAATGCATGGTGCCAAAGTCTACTCATGAGACCCATTTATAAGTACAAGTAGCAGCAGGCAGTGACCCAACAGGTGAATACCAAGCTGTGTCATGGTAATTATGAGAGAAGAAAAAGAATAAAAAACAGGGTATTTCGGTTGTGGAGTCGCAAGGCTATTAAAAGCTTCTGGGTCTAGTACGAACTACTTATGTATAGCCTTGGTTTCAGTTGGTTATACAGGACTGCAGCTTGATGCGATCGACGCAAACAGTGCAGGGCGATTGAAACCTGTTATGAATAAACGGCTTCAAATAAAGACTCGCCTCTCCAGCGCAATGACTTGCCAAAACCACTGAGAGCAAAGTACAAACGTGAGATTTCCATTAACGAAATATTACGATATCGTGAAAGGTCGCCCTACTACAAAACCTGTTTTGGTGAAGTTAAGCCAGGGTAAAGTAGCCTTTGAGTTAATTTTTGAAAGGAACCAGAGAACTGGAAAAATCCGGATCTGAAGCAAAGGCAGTTCATAGATTGAGACAACGTTAACTTTTGATAATAACTCTAAATATTGCACAAAACACATGTACCATATCGTGGAGTCGCATACGAATGAATAAATTCATTTCTTTTATGCTTCTGCAACGATTGCTCCAAAAAAGAAACACAAACATGCGACGTATCTGCGACTGAAAACTGAAGACGGTTGCTGAAACAGGGAGAAAGTCTAACATGGGCAGTAAAAGAAATCAAAACACGGCCAGTGATACGATGCCCGAACCGCCCGAGTCGGGCTGGGCATGGGTGGTTGTGTGCGGTGCTTTTGTTATCCAGTTTATGGTAGTTGGCTTTCTTGCCTCGATGTCTGTCTACGTTTTCCTGTGGATAAATTACTTCGAGGGAAGCGCGGCCCAGACCAGCCTGATTGTGTCGCTTTGTTCTTTCCTGATGGGTGTCTTTAGTAAGTTTGCTGTATTTTATCCGGTTAAGAAGACAGGAAAATTAATTTGTAAATGCACCAATACTGGGCAGTAAGATTAATGTATTAGTTTCCATTAATTAACCAAAAATAGTGGCAATTTATTCTCATGTCCAACTACCAATTTCCAAATGGGGGACGCCACTGATCACTTCACTCGACGTCTGATGGTCTGGGCTTTATTCGTCGGAACAAAATCTCGTCGGAGGCAAAAAGAGGAAACATTGGCTAATCGAAAAAATGGATAAGGGGCAAGTCGAACATTGTTATCAACTAAGAGTCTCTTTTGCTTGGGTCATTTTAGGTCCAGTGGCCGGTGCAAGCTGTAAGCGCTTTGGACCCCGTCTGACGGCCATGGCGGGTGGTACGCTAACATGTGCTGGCGTCATTATCTCCTCACAAGCGACTGGTATTGTCTTTCTCATCTTCAGCCTGGGGGTTCTGACAGGTGAGTGTTTGAAACCCAAGTCGCGATAACTTTGAACAAAATGGGGCTTAAAATTTATGTAATGCGAAGTGTTCCAAAGTTATATACGTGTGCATGATGTGCGCATATCATCAGATATAGCCTATGGGTCTTTGCATTTTCATGCTTAAGTTCCAATACTGAAAGTTATATTATGATTAGTTATTGTTGTTTTGTTTGAATGTGAATACCAGTGTGCAATTCGAATTCTCTTTTCCGTCGCTAATGGCATTAATGTATTGTTAATATGTGAAAAACGGTATTGTGACGAGGACCGTTGATGACATTGACAGTGGCAGTAATGACACCTTGTTTGACTCACTAATTCTTATATATTTAATGATGAGTGTCCTTTCTTTTCCCTCTTAGCCTTCGGAATGAGTATGGCCACAAATGCTTCTTATACGATACTGGGTATGTACTTCAAGAAACGTCTGGCTATAGCCATGGGTTTAGCCACTGCTGGAGTCAGCGTAGGACAGTTGGTTCTTCCACCTTTCTTCCAGTATTTGATCGACCACTACGGATGGAAAGGGTCGCTGATGATAACTTCCGCACTAACATTTCACGTAGCTGTTGCTGGTGCCCTCATGCGGCCCCCGCGTATTGCTAAACCGAAGAAGCCATCTAGAAAGTCCACTGGTCGCACAGCAGAGGATGAGGCCAAAGCAGAAGAAAACGGCAATAACATTGAATCGACTGGAGTCGGCAGCCTTCGGGCCCTGTCGCTTCTCAACCCATCGATCTTTGACGCAGAAGATCAAGTCGGTTCCCCCAATGGCATGGCCCTAGGAGAAGGATCGATCTTCCAGGAGGAGCCAGACGTTGCCATGACAACAGACATTGAAGAGGATGAGGACAGGATTCAGTATGTCGACGATGATTCTTGGAGTCTGTCATCAACTCCGGGAGGAGATATGTCCGCCTTGAGCCACAGTGTCTGGGTACCTATCGCTGTGACAGCCTTGCAGAGCATGCCAGGAAAGAGGCGTCAACGATCTTTTCTTCCCGGACGTAAACCTCGCTCTGCATCTATGCTAAGCCAGACCTTGCAGAAACAGCCTTCTGAACTCCTGCGTCTCTTTCGGAATCCCAGCTTTGTGATCATGCTGGCGGTGAGCATAGCACACGGCTTCGGCTGGGCGTCCACCACCTACCATTTGGTATCGCGGGCCGAGTCTGTCGGTGTCGAACCAGACAAAGCCGCCTTACTTCTCACTGCAATGGGCACAGGCAGTCTTGTCGGTAGACTAAGCATTGGATGGCTGGCTGACAAAAAATGGATCGATCCTAAAATCTACTACACCTGTACCTTCGCCTTTTGTGCCTTGGCAGCATTCATAACTCCTCCGATAACAGTCTACTACGCACTGATAGCCTTGGCGCTTGTTCAAGGCTTAGCATTCGGTGCAGCGACAGTCATCCTATTCATTACTCCTGGGCGTATTGTTAAGCCAGTACTTGCCACCACATCCTTGTCGTATTGTCTTCTTGCGTGGGGTGCAGGAGAAATATCTGGAGGAGCATTAGCGGGTAAGATTGGACTAATTTAACGAAAACCATTTAAAAAGTAATGAATAAGAATGAACAAAGTTTAAATTTATGTAAGCATTTTGGCGTCTGAGAATTTTGTTTTCAAGAAATGAGTGTAACCTTTTATGAGAATCTTGTTTTCAATTCAGGATGGTTTTACGATGCTCTTGAAAGCTACGACTATTCCTTCTACACTGCTGGATCAGTGATGACTGCTGGGTCTGGATTTATGCTCGTCATATTCTTCCTCCAGCGAGCGAAGCAACGATGTCACGGACACCCCGCCAAGACATCTGAGGGCAGACACGAGCACGTCGAACCGGGTTCGAATCCGTTTGATCCGGAGTTTGCTGGGTCAAAGTTTGATGATTTGGGAAGGGTCAATCCGTTGTTTTTCATGAGGGAAAGGGTTGAGTCAGAGAGGAATAAGGGTGAAGTTGGACAGTGGGTGGGGCTGTGTCAGTTGATGAATTGAATGAGAGGGAGACTGATTTTAAGGGCTGGTCTTGGAATAATGCCCCTCAAGGGGAGGAGATTGTAGTGGATGTAATTGAAAGGAGGGAGTTAGACACTGAAAGACACTGTGGGTTTGAGGAATCATCGGACATTGACGATCAAATGAATGATTATAACACGGCTGAAGCTCATGCAAACTGTACCACTCCAACGCAGATTAACACACGCGCAGAAGTGCACGCTGAAGGGACACATAATTTCGACATATCGAACAATTCTACTGATGCTGATCCGGACAGTATGGTGGTTGAAAGTTATGACAATAAAATTTTGATTTATGACGGAAGCAAACGGGATAGTGATGGTGATATTGGCTTTGGAAATCCATGCTATAACGTTAAATCTTGTTCCAGCATTCAAGATTCTGGTAATCAGGACAGCCCCTATAATGCACAAGAAGAAGTCGGTAGAGAGCGTAGTTTGTCCAATGGCTTAGAAACGCCTCATAACGAGTCTGAATGTAGCAATTACGAAAACGATTGCGGTATTGAAAATCCTATTTATTTTGCTGAGTCTAATTTAAGCGACTCTTTCCCGTACGATAGCGAGTGTGTGAGTGAGAAGTGTCAGACTTGTGCCAGAGAATTAGGTATAAGTAATTGTGTGGAAACTATTCCAAAGGTGTTGCTGACCAACGATTCCCTTGAACCAGAGAGAAACCGTGAAAAGGACGATGAGAAGGAACGTGAGAATTACTCAACTGTGAGCAAAGAGGGGGAGGGAAATTACTCTGGAATCTCTAACCCCTGTTACGTCGCAGACACTCCAGCAAATAAATGCCACAGGGAGAGCTCAGAGAACGTCACGTGTGGTTGTTAGGACAGAGGGGGTTCGGACGCCAGAAAGCGAAAATGCGTGTGAAGTATTGCAATATTTACTGGGTGGGAGGGGTCACAACTTTGTCTCCAAAGAACGTTTAATGCCAGCTGTTTTCCCTTGCCTCTCAGGAACAAAGATAGGTTCGTTGCAATGATCTATTCTTTCCTCTTGGACTTTATTTTTCAACATTTTATTTTTTAAAATATGTATTAAGGAAACATCAATAAACAGTTGTTTGCGGGTTGCGTCTGTTGTTGTTTTCTTTTTTCTGGTCATATTCTGTGACAAAACATTATTTACTAGTTGCATGCCAACAGACAAGATCGGAAACATTTACCAGAAAAGTATTTCAGACACAGAATTGGTACGAAACCTAAAATGTCATGAATTCGAAGAAAGCGTTGCTGAGTTCCTAACACCAGCAATACAGGCGGTTCACAACAGAGCGCCTCCAAGAGTTTGCAACGCGCTGGACAATCGCAATGCACAAAATCTGTCGACCCTTTCCAAACGCGCATTTGGTCGACAGATTTCACGCATTATGGTTGGCCCGTATAAAAATCTTATCGTGAACGTAGCCCCCGCGTACCCAAAGACTACGCACGCACACAAGTAGTGTTACAAGCGAGTGCGCGTTTCACAGACAATCCTGCAGTACCGAGATCGGCCCCCTTGAATGGCGGCAAGCATTGCGCACCGGAGCGATTGTCACGGAACAGTGGCTATATACAGCATTTATCACAATTGCTTACCGCTATCCAGAGGGTCACTGCGAAATACCTGTGATGGCGTTACCACGGTCACACGCATGTTCGGTCTTTTCTGGCAACAAGTTATGTAAATAGTCTATTAAACTCCATGAAGACGCCTAATTTTGAAATATGCATTGATGGTCACTGTCAAATTTGAGACATTGCTAGCGCCCTTTGCCTTTTTCCATTTAGCGTTGTCACTGTTCATGTTCAGCGTTGATATGTCCCGTTCCCAACAATGTCAGAAGGACAATAGAGGGACCGGTTACCAGTCTATATTCTGCGACGCGTATTAAGGCTTAAACAGTCTTCGGTTTCTGGTCAGGGCCTTGCTCAAAAAGTGATACGGCAACGGGTACGTTTTTTATTTTTTTCTCTCTCGCTTTTCCCCTAGAAATGATGCGGTGGAACCGCACTCACACGCACATTATTCAGCTTGATGCGCGTTTGCTTTCGGCAAATCACGACACCCCGTTGCTCAAAGAGGCGTGTAACGCGAGCGTTTCACCTGTCCACTAGCGTTGTGCCACCGCAGTAATGGCTTCTAGTAGACCGTATTCGCGGCGTCCCCAATTTCAGTCGAATTCCCCAACGTAGTGTATTTATTTGAAAATGTTAAATTCAAATAACCCAACTATATTCTATGATTTCATGCCGACCCCCAAATCACCCGGTACCATCCTATTTAGGGATTCAAAATTATACTGTACGTTCAGGAATATGACTGAAATTGGGGACGCCGCAAATACGGTCTATTCTGGTGGTCGAATTACACTATACGTATAAGTACGCGTGCGTGTACGTACCGCGCTACGAACACTGAAATAGACTGGCCCCTCATTATTTACTGTTTCAAAGGCCGTTTTCCAATATTCAACTGCGGCATCGTCTCAAGCTGCAACTGTTTTTAGCTAGCTGACTTTGAAGCTGTAAGCGCACTAATTAGTCTAACAGTGCCACAAAACATCATATAAGATGCAAGAGAGCAAAAACTTACAGTAATCCAATTTGACTTAAACGCTTCAGGCCCACAATCGGGGATTAGTTTTGGGAACGAAGCCTGAGACGGAGCCCAAAATCGAGTATTGGAAAAGGGCCAAAGCGCTTTCAGCTTCAACATGTACTCAGGACATAAGATGGCCTCGTTTGTCTGGTTCCCAGATGTGAATATATCATACAGAAATAACTTAAGGGGGGGAGTGCCAGACTAAATGTATGAGAGTCTGGTGACTGTACATATTACTCAACCGTACCCCATCTAAAACACGTTGAAATAGACCGTATCCGCGGCGTCCCCAATTTCAGTCGTATTCCCCAACGCAGTTTATTTATTTTAAATGTCAAATTCAAAGAACCCAACTATATTCTACGATTTCATTCCGACCCCCGAAATCACCTGGTACCATGCCAATAAGGGTTTCAAATTCATACTGTACGTTCAGGAATACGACTGAAATTGGGGACGCCGCGAAAACGGTCTATTATCAAAAACTGACCACTGAGAAACCGGAGACATTTCTTTTGGCCTAACAGCGCAAAGTTTGAAAGCGCTTTCTTTGTTGCTCAGTCAATTCATGCACAGTGGATGGACGCAGATTCCTGAAATTGTTGCCACCGGGAGCAAGCAAGCCAAGCATGGTATGGACCATGGACGTTGCTTGTCACCGCGGCAGCTATGAAATCACATCCAGCCTCGCTCGAAATCCGACATTTTGTTCTACACTTGTAGTGCATTTCGTGCCATGTCAAAGTGGTCCCAATGCACGAGGACCTACATGTAGGCCTACATGAACTTCTGCCATGTGTACATCTTTAATAGTGTGCAGTACTGACGTGCGCACGTATTTACTCCAAATCCAGGCAGCTAGTGAACTGGCCACAGCTGTTTTGGTAAGTGTTTTAATTTGAGCAGTTTTTAATGTTATCTGAACTGAAACTGTGACCATTTTCGTTCTCTGAATGAATGTCGCAGGTTTAAACCCTGATGCTTTCTTTTCATTAAATGATGTAAACCGGACTTTATGGACCATTGTACTTTTACATGATTTTTGACCGTGGATTAAAAAAAAAATACTTGAAAAAATGGCTGTACATTGCACGATTTCGAATTACTTCATTCCAGTAGTGTTACGCGTTATAAATCATATGGTGACATTATTCAGAAAAATGAAATCACTGCGGAAATATTGTGCACTGTATTCTTATAGCTCGAATCAAAACATGTACGAATGTGGCTTTGAAATCTTTGGCTGCATAATTTAAGAAAACATTCGCGAGTTATCGTGGGTAAATTTGTTATCCTTAGAGCAGTTTTTTAAGAGTATGTCACTATCACATGGTCTGTTCCTTCCTCTTAGAAAATATACTTATGCTCCTTTTTCTTGATGCAGTAATGTTTCGTGGGAGGTACCCATAGGTTTGTAATATTGGTATATATACAATGGCTGCCATGAGACGCGACCGAAAAAACGTTGGGCCTCCGTTCGGCAAAGACACCGACAACTGGATTGTTTGCATCAAACTGTCTATAAAATCAGCTTTTAGCTACCGCTACTATATGCTTTTAGAAAGTTAAGAATGTAGTTATCTAGCGATAAGTTTTTAAAATAAACTCTACCAAATGTAGACATAAGACAGGATTTGCTAATGACCAGATTGGGTAGTTATTTGAAATATCAGGTGTAATTAAGTTTGATTATAATTGTAAAATTATAATGCAGTTAATATTGTAGCTGTAGTATTGTTTGTTGTGAACCGTCATTACACATTTGATTTTATTATATTCTAGTACAGTCTGAAAACAGACGTGATAATATTAGCAATAGTATAAGTTTGATCAGCATAAAATTACAAAGCATTGCACTTTGTGTAGCTAGTGTTGATAAACAATTCTACTGTCCACAGTCATTACGCGTGTCATGTATGCAGAGTAGATGTAAATCTCGATAAAATATTGCGTCATCATTGTGGTCCGATAGAAGCTGGTCCGAAGTCCACTGACAAATTTCCACTGAAGTGGCACTTCGGGCAGTGACGTGAAAGGAAAAACAACAAGCTGTGTAAGTAAGCTACTGAAGCTGGTAAGGACAGGAGAGAACCGACCTCTGCTTAGCCTTGGTAACAAGTCGTCGTTGTGTCAAGTTTTGCCCATACACACATCATAGACGCCGTTGCAACACATGTATTATTAATACCTGCAGATCATACTAACACACTTGTGTCATGTACTACTCAGGTTTTAAGTCTCGTGAGGAACACGACCTTTACATTTGCTTGTTTCATTACGTATTCCTCAGCCATCCATGGCTATTCTTTCCTTGTGCGGGCCGTCATACTGTCTCTATAGACTGTTTCACATGCTACTGTCTTGTCAAACTTGATGAGAGATCTTCTGTCAATGACTTGCCCAGGTACACAACGGCAGGCTGCACGTTGCAATATGGCTGTGCAATCTGGGCTGTACTATAGAAGTCATTGCAGTTATTTTAGGCTTATCGAGGTACGATTCCATTTCTCGCACCAATTACGGGCAAGGCTTGTCAACCATGATGCATTAATGTAAACAGTCATTGCGCCACTTGTCTCAACGGATGTGTTCGTACTTTGTTCACAGTTCCATACAGTTGCGACGTCATGCGCAGCAGATATGGATGCTAGACTCGATTTTAAGTTGGTAATTTGTTTGATAGGAACCTGGTCGGTGTTTCGCACAGGGTAGGCCTTGAATGTATACCACAGAGTTAACCTGAACCTGTGTTTTATTTCTCCATGCCTGAACGCAGCAGGACCAAGGAGAATTATTGTATACAGGCAGGGACGGCTGCTTCTCCATCCTCGTAAGCGCAGTGTCGTCACCGTACCGTCGCGTATAATTATAAGACCACGCGCGGAGGAATGCACTATAGGGGAACCGAAGCTACTCGTATCTGCCCAATTCAATGGTCAAATCTATGGTGATTCTGAAGGGACGTGTAATTACATGAAATCTCTCTCAATCTGTAACTCAAGAAAACACATGAAACGTTTGCACCACTTAATGATGACAAAACCATCCATTGCCCCTCTTGGAAAGACTACCCCCTTGCAACTTGAATACTGATCGAGTCAGACATTTAAGTTAAAGTAAAGTTAATAGGTCTCCACGCATGCTTGACAACCACCGGGGAAATCATAGAGAAAACGATTAGGCCTGACATATTTAACCATAAAAACCAGTGTTCCTATACCTCAGCCCCAGGAATAATTATTGGCCTGAAGGTTAACGCCACTTCATAAACACATTAAACCGTCATTATATGGATACAACCTAATAAGTGTGTGAAAGTAATTGCTGCGATCACGGTCACCAACGAAACATTGACTCCCAGCGCCCCCTTGAAATTACATGTATAATCATTATGCATCAAAGCAAAGCTAAATTATAAACAAGAATTAAATGTGTGAACAGTGTCCAATGTACTTGTTATTCAAATTCACTGAATTCGGTAATAACCAAAGATGTAAAACAAGTAAGTTCCTTATCCACGCCTAATTTCCAGATTAAGGTGAAAGAACACTGCACAAGTCTCTCGTCCCCTCTCCTTGCCGATCGCTTCCTTGCAGCAAATAAAATGCTAGATTCTTGCATGCAGCTTACAGTCCTGTGTGATTGTAAGTGGAAGTACTCAGGCGTCAAGTAAATCATTACAGATCCCAAGGATATTGGTTTAGAAGAATAAATAGCATAGGTTTGGAAGAACACTATTTGCATAAATACCACAAAAGGAAAGGAGCAAACCATGTACAGTCGCAGCTTAATCTAACAAAACGAGAGGCGTGTATATGTTGGGTGCAATCAGTTGATGTACACAATCGCCCAATCATTCACGCAGCAGCTGCTAGCGCCCTCATGCGGCTTCTATCCCCAAACTTGGAGAAGTGATCTACAAACACTTGGTGCATGAAATGAATGGGACATGAAACGACGGGGCTATATACTAGTCTGGACGGTGCATACGTGATAAGGATTTCAAAATTTCCCCGGCTCCCTTTATGTTCCCCTTTTCTGAGACTAGAATTACCAGTTAATAACATCAAATCCCGCAACAATCATCAACAGAGTGGTGGAAAACTGTCTTCTCAGTCTAATTTTTGTAATGTTCTAATTTCAGTCACTTGTTTTCAGTATTTTTGAGCAATATTATTCATTTTATTTTCTGCATGCTTGCCTTTGTTAATAAAGACCCCGATGAAAGTAAGGCGTGCTGTGAACAGCTTTTTAGGCTTTTACTGGTGTGATAATTCATTTAGTGGCGCAAATTCCACCAGCCATGCGCCAGCCCAACCTTCACTTACAGAACGTATGAGGAATCAAATTACACACGAGGGATACCTCGAAAAGGAGTTTCCTTGAAGCACTCGTATTTTGTTTTGCTCATATTCGCAGTCGGCATGCTGAGTTTGCTGTACTCATTGATGATAACCACACGTATTTACACAGACGAATGACCTCTTTTTTATGCGAGTTCATCGTTGTTTTCTTTCATTGGTAATGTTTACACTTGTGACCTTTCCACAAGGGATCATGCATTACAGAATAAGCAAATGTCCTTGAGATAGCAGCTTCCAATCTACGAATGTGCTTGCAGTGATGTAGATTACGTGTACATAAATGTACTTTCGACACATGTTACAGACGGTTTATGCGTCCCTGTATCTGCACTATTTACTGGTGGAAGATAAGCGTTTAAAAAGTGATTGTCTCTGTGCCCGGGGTTTGTTTGAAATGATACCAAGGTCTACTCAGAAGAACCATAAAAGTGGTCATACGTTTGGACAGTGACCCAGTAGACGAATAAAAAGTCGTTTATTAATTAGCGAAAAAAGCCTCTGGTTTCTGGTCAAGGCTGGCTCCAAAAGTGGAACGGCGACGCGTTTTCTCCTCCGTCTTTTTGCCCCGTAGAAATGATACACACACGTGTGCTTGTACGTACATATCTCCGCTACCAACACTGAAATAGACTGGGCCCCTCACTATTTACTGTTTCAAAGCGTTTCCAGCTTGTAGATGTACACAGGACATAAGATCAACTCGCTTGTCTGGTTCCCAGATGTAAATGTATACTACAGAAATAACGTCATCTGAAAAAGAGTGACCGAATAAATGTATAAGGGCTGTAGAGGGACTCCTTTACTATCAACTGTAGTCCATCTAAAATACGTCAAAATTACGCAGTAGCAGGATTGCACACAATCAAGCAAGTTTAGCAGCTTTTGACTTCGTATTATATCAATTTTTTTTATTTCTCTGACGCGCAGGTCTACGGCGGCGACGCGCGCGCAGACCAGAAACCAAAATATTTATCGGCCTTATGAGAAAATAGTGAGAACGGCAGATGTTTCTACTGTTGACTTAACTATGGTATAAAAAACCTAGGGTTATGGGACGGACTGCTTATGTATAGCCTTGGTTGCAATTCGTTATACAGACTTGCATCTTGATGCCATCGACGCCTGTGTAATGAAGGGCTATTAACACCTGGCGAATTAACGACTTACAATAAAGCCTAGCCTTTTCAGTGTATGCAGTGGCTTGCCAAAACAAATAGAGAGTACGTGCAGATAAACCAAATATTTCAATGTCGTAAATGGTTAGCCTACTATAAAATCCTTAGTTAAGCCCCAGTAAAACAGCCATCGCGTTAATTTTGAAAGGAACCAGAGGACTGGAAAAATCCAGATCTGAAGCAAATTGGCAATATGATAGATGTCGTCTGGTCTGAAACTGATTTTGATGATAGCTCCAAATTTTGAAACTATCGTAACGTGTTGTGGAGTCGCATACAAATGAATGAATTCATTTCTTGTGTGCTGCAAAGATTGCTTCGAACAAGACAGAAACGTGACGTATGTGTGACTGAAAACTGAAGATGGTTGCTGGACCGGGGAGCAAAACTGTTCAACATGGGCAGTAAAAGAAAAGAAAGCACGGTCAGCGATACGATATCCAAACCGGCCGTGTCGGGCTGGGCATGGGTGGTTCTGTGCGGTGCTTTTGTTATCCAGTTTATGGTAGTTGGCTTTCTTGGCTCAATGTCTGTCTACGTTTTCGTGTGGATAAATTACTTCGAGGGAAGCGCGGCCCAGACCAGCCTGATTGTGTCGCTTTGTTCTTTCCTGATGGGTGCCTTGAGTAAGTTTGCTGTATTTTATCCTATTCAGAAGACAAGAAAAATAGTTTGTAAATGCACCAATACTGGGTAGTAAGATTAACTTATTAGTTTCTATTAACCGAATAACGAAATAAATGGGTGCCTGGAGTAAGTTTGTTGTATGTTATGCGTTAATGAGGACAGGATTATTAATTTGTATGATGCACCAATGCTGGGAAGTGTAATAGATCTTTTAGTTTGTAACAACAAAATTGGCAGTATTTCTTGGCAAATTAGCTGCTTCCCTGGGGAATAGATTTCGAGCATAGTGGATATCAATCAGATTGCACTATACCGGGCTATTTTAGTTTTCCATCTTTCCAAACCATTGTTGTTCAATATGCCCAAACTCCAAAGTAAGGTGGGACTCCACTGATCACTTCACTCTCCGGTCTGGGCTTTTATTTTATCGGAACAAAATCTCGTCAGAGCTAAAAAAGAACACACATTCGCTAACCAAAACATGTGGATCAGGGGAAAATTGGATGAGACCCTTTTTCTCTTTTGCCTGGGTCGTTTTAGGTCCAGTGGCCGGGGCAAGCTGTAAACGCTTTGGACCCCGTCTGACGGCTATGGCAGGTGGTATGCTGATGTTTGCAGGCGTAGTAATCTCCTCGCAGGCGACTGGTATAATATTTCTCATTTTGAGTCTCGGCGTTTTAACGGGTGAGTGTTTGATACGTTAGGAGCTCTTTTAAATTCACCGCAAAAATTTTCCCAACAACTTAGAAGTTCGAATTGGAAGTATTATTCGTAGGTATTGGAAATTCATGCACGTGTGCATTATATGCATCACTTATAACTTATTTCACGATTATGGATGTGAAAATCTTTTTCCAAAATTGAAGGCCATTAGTAAATAACATGCTTGTTGCTGTTTGGTTTGAATAGAAACACCAATGTGAAATTCGAATACTGTTTTACGTCGCTAATGACGCCAAGATATTAAAAGTCTATCGAAAACTATATCATGATGAGGACCGTTGATGACGTTTACAGTGGCAGTAATGCCACTAATTTGAGTTTCTAATTCTTTTATTTTTACAAGTAGGTGTCCTGTCTTTTCCCTCGTAGCATTTGGAATGAGTATGGCGTTGAATGCTTCTTATATGATACTGGGTATGTACTTCGAGAAACGTCTGGCTACAGCCATGGGTTTAGCCACTGCTGGAGTCAGCGTAGGACAGTTGGCTCTTCCACCTTTCTTCCAGTACTTGATCGATCACTACGGATGGAGAGGGTCGCTGATGATAACTTCCGCGCTAGCATTTCACGTAGCTGCTGCTGCCGCCGTCATGCGGCCGCTGCTTATCCCTAAACCGGATAAGTCATCTAAAAAGTCTGGAGGGGGCAAGGTAGAGCATAAGGCCAAAGGAGAAGAAAACGGCAATAATAATGAATTGACTGGAGTTGGCAACCTTCGGGTCCTGTCCTTTCTCAACCCATCGATCTTTGACGCGGAAGATCAAGTCGGTTCGCCCAATGGCATGGCCCTAGGAGAAGGATCGATCTTCCAGGAGGAGCCAGACGTTGCCATGACAACAAAGTTCGAAGAAGATGAGGACAGAATCCAGTATATCGACGACGATTCTTGGAGTCTGTCATCGACTCGGGAAGGATTAAAGTCTGCCATGAACCACAGTGTCTGGGTACCGGTCGCCGTGACAGCCTTGAAGAGCATGCCAGCGGAGGGGCGTAAACAAACCTCCCTTCCCGGCCGCAAACCTAGCTTAGCATCCATGCTAACCCAGAGCTTGGAGAAACAGCCTTCTGAATTCTTGTGTCTCCTTCGGAATCCTAGCTTTGTGATCATGCTGGCAGTGAGCGTAGCACACGGCTTCGGCTGGGCGTCCACCACCTACCATTTGGTATCGCGGGCCGAGTCTATTGGCATCGAGCCACACAAAGCCGCCTTACTTCTCACTTCATTGGGCACAGGCAGTCTCGTTGGTCGACTAAGCATCGGCTGGCTGACTGACAAAAAATGGATCGGTCCTGAAATCTACTACACCTGTACCTTCGCCTTTTGTGCCTTGGTAGCATTCATAACTCCTCCGATAACAGTCTACTACGCACTGATAGCCTTGGCGCATTTTCAAGGCTTAGCATTCGGTGCGGCGACAGTCATCCTAGTCATGACTCCTGGGCGTGTTGTTAAGCCAGGGCTTGGTACCACTTCCATGTCATTCTCGCTCCTTGCTTGGGGTGCAGGAGAAATATCTGGAGGAGCATTAGCGGGTAAGTAAGACTAATTTACTAAAAAAACAATGTAAAAGGTGATGAATTATAATGAACATTTTAAGTTTATTTGAGCATTTTGGCGTCTGAACACTTTGTTTTAAAAAAATGAGTATCACCTTATAAAAGAATACTGTTTTCAATTCAGGATGGTTTTACGATGCTCTTGAAAGCTACGACTATTCCTTCTACACTGCTGGATCAGTGATGACTGCTGGGTCTGGCTTTATGCTCGTCATATTCTTCCTCCAGCGAGCGAAGCAACGATGCCACATACATCCCGCCAAGATATCTGAGGGCAGACACGAGCACGTCAACCCGTTGGATCTGGAGTTTGATGGCTCAAAGGTCGATGATGTGGGAAGGGTCAATCCGTTGTTTTTCGTGAGGGAAAAGGTCGAGTCAAAGAAGAATGAGGGTGAAGCTGAGGCAGTGGAAGACATTTTGTCAGTCGAGGAATTGAATGAGAGAGAGATAGACTCGAAACTGAGCTGGTATTGGAATAGTAGTATTAACTCTGCCCCTGAATGGGAGGATTCGAGATTATAGTAGATGTAATAGCATGGAGGAAGTGAGAAGAAAGACATTGTGAGGTTGAGGAACCTGCAAATGAATGATTAGTACACAGCTTAAGCCCATACAAACTGTACCATGCAAACTGTACCATGCAAATTGTACCATGCAAAGTGTACCATGTAAACTGTACCGCCCCAACCCGATAATAAACAGATAATTTTGACATATCGAACAATACTACTGATGCTGATCCGGGCGGTATGGTGGCTGGACGTTGTGACAAAATCTTTCTTTATGACGGAAGCAAACGGGACGGTGAATGTGATATTAGGTTTGAAAACCCGTCCTTTAATTAAAGTTGAAGGTCGATCTAACATTCAAGTTTCAGATTATCCGGACAGTCCCTATAATGGATAGTGAGAGGTCAGTATAGAGCGGAAACTATTTTGTCCAACGATGTAAAAAGGCCTCATATAGTGTCTAAACGGAGCATTGAGGAAAGATATCGCAGTATTGAAAATCTTCATATAATGCTGAGTCCATTTTGAGCGAGTCTTTCCCGTACGATAGCAAGTGTGTGAGTGAGAAGTGTCAGAGTTGTGCTAGAGAATTGGATATTAGTGATTGTGTGGAAAATAACCCAAGGGTGTTGCTAAGCAACGATTCCCTTGCACCAGAAGGAAACTGTGAGAAGGGCGATGAGAAGGAATTTGAGAATCACTCGACTGTGAGAAAAGACGGGGAGGGAAATTTCTTATTCACCTGTTACGTCACGGACGCCTAGCCAATGAATATCATAGGGAGAGCTCATAGACAGTCCGGTATGGTTGTTAGAACCGAGATATATAGACTTGACGTGACGTTGGCTGGTTTATATGCTGTGGATACGTAGGCTGCGCGTCGTTAATTGGCCCTCATGTATCCACTTAGTAATCTGCCATCCGTTTGTACACAGCAAATCAGCTCATTTACCAAAACTGGCAGCAGCCATTTAAATATGGGCGACTCATAATAGTACGCCTCCAAGACGGTTTGCAACGCGTTGGCCAATCACAATGTGCGAAATCTGTCGACCTAATGCGCGTTTGAAAATGGTTAGAAATCACTTTCTAAATAGTCAACGGTTAAATTGTGCAGTTATTTAGAAATGTGGCCATTTAGTTAGAGAGGTATTGAGTCATTTAGCTGTTCTACCCTTAACTTGACGATCGGGAGAGCTAGTTCAGGTGCCAATAAGCGATATTGCGTGACGTATTGCAATATTTACTGGGTGGGAGGAATCATTTGTCTCCAAAGAACGTTTAATGTCAGCAATTTTCCCTCAACTCTCAGGAACAAAGATAGGTTCATTGCAATGATCTATTTTTCCTCTTGGACTGTATTTCTTTAAAAAATACTTAATGTATGAAGGAAACAAAAATAAACGGCTGTTTGCGGGCTGCGTCTGTTGTCGTTTTCTTTTTGGGTGATTTTTCCAGTCATATTCTGTGACAAAACCTTCTGTACTAGTTGCCAACAATATTCCAGAGATGGAATAAGTGTGAAACCTAAAATGTCATGAATATGAAAAAACGTCGCTGACTTGCTTACATCAGCAATTTAAACGCTATTATGGTGCACCAAGCCCCAGTTAAACTCTGACGTTAAACGATCTTAATACGCGCGCACCTATAGGGCCAATCATGAGGTAATAAGTAGGAGCAAGCGTGCAGTCGCCATTTTCGTAAATGGAGCGAAGAAACAGACAATCCTTAAGTTTAGACGAATCTAAGAACGTTCCGCCGGACACTCCTGATGGCGCCCTTGAATGGCAGCGAGCATTGTGTTGGGTTATATGGAGTAACTGTCTCACAACAGTGGTTCTTTATGTTAGTTATCACGATGCTAACTGCCATTTCAGGGGCCATTGCAGATAACCAGTATGGCGTTTTCACGGTCACCGAAATTGTCTATATGCGTTCGGTCCTTATGACAGGTTCTGTAAATAGTCTGTTAAACTCCATGTAGACGCTTAATTTTGTATTAGGGCCTATGCATTGAAGATAACTGTTAAATTGAGACGTTGCCAGTAGGCCCTACCCTGTGATTTTTTCCATACAACGTGGTCACTGTTCATGCTCAGCGTTGATACATACCCGGTCCCCACAAAGTCAGAAGGGAAATAGAGGGACGGTTTGCAGTTTGCATTATGCAATACGCATACGGCAACGTCAACCTCATGGACTGCGTGCACGTTCCTTCACCAGGCACGGTGGGAACCAACATAGCGCTGCAAGATCCTACTAATGGGAACGAGGTTGTGCTTATGGAGCAGGTGTTTGAAAGCGCTTTCCTCCTTGCTCAATGCATGCTTAGGGAAATGACGCGCACTCCTGATATTGTTGCCACTTTTCTTGGGGAGCAAGCAAGCAAGCATGGACAGGATGCTGCTTGTCACCGCGGCAGCTATGAAATCACATCTAGCCTTTCTCGAAAACCGACATTTTGTTCTGCACTTCTGAGGACCTATGTGAACATGTTCTGCAGTGTGCACATCTTAGTGCACTGTACAGTGCGCATGTACATGTACATGTAAACGTACTCTGAATCCAGGCGCAGCTAGTAAACTGGCCACAGCTGGTTTGGTAAGTGTTTTAAGTTGAGCATTTTGATGTTACCGAAACTGAAACAGCACTTTTTACCATCTTGGTTCTCTCAGTGAATGTTGCAGGTTAAAAACTGATTGCATTCTATTCTTATAACTCGATTTAAAGTCGTATATGCAAATGTGGCTTTGAAATCGTTTGGCATCGTACATGTAATTTAAGAAAACATTTGAGTTATCGTTTGTAAGTTTGTTATCGTTACTGCATATTTTCAGAGTGTGTCACTCACTACCATATGCTCTGTTCTTCTTAATGCAGTAATGTTTTGTGGGAATCGCTATGCATCTAGCCTAAGTTTCTAGTTTTTAACATTGCTTTATAATGGCTGCCACGAGACGCTGTACGGACAAAATGCTTGCCCCCCGTTCGGCAAAAACACCAACAACTTGTTTATTTGCACCAATGAAGTGTTTTGTAACATCAGCGTCTTGATACACCGACTACAAAAGCTTTTGGGAGGGATGTAATTATCGAGCGATAATTCTTTTAAAATAAGTTCTGCTAATTGTAATTACACAAAGAATAAGGTTAAACATAAGACATTATTTGCTAATATCCAGATTGGGTTGTTATTTGAAATAACAGGTGTTAGTTGGTCTACAAATCATGAGGCAGTTTAATACACTGTAGCCATAGTAATGTCTGCTGTGAATTATGAACCGTCTTCACATATTTGACAAACATCTAGCACGGTATAAAACAGACGTGATAGAGTAGTAGTGATAATCAGTATAAGTTTGATCAGTATAAAATCATAAAGCAGTTGCACTTAGTGTAGCTAGTGTTGACAAAAACAAGTCTACTGTCCGCAGCCATTATGCGTGCCGTCTATACACACAGTAAATGCAAGTGTTGATAAAATATTTTGTCACATTTGGTCTGATGGACACTAGTACTGGTTCTGAAGTCTGTCAAGTTGTCCTAAGTGGTACTTTGGGCAGTGACGCGAAAGGCGAGCAATAAGCCGTGTAATCTGAAAAATGTAATACAGTGTACCAACAACAGCTGGTTCAAGTAAGTTAGTCGCAAACATAAAAAGTAAGCTAGTGAAACTGGTACGGACAGGAGCGAACCGACCTCTGCTTAGCCTTGGTAACAAGTCGTCCTTATGTCAAGTTTTGTCCATATGCGTATCATAAAAGCCGGTTTCATGCATGTATTATTTTATACCTACGGGTCACACTGACACGTACACGCTTGTGTCATAACACTTTGGCCAACGAGGATGAAACGATCAAGAACATATCGACTCTTCAATGTATACGCCACACGATTTTGTATGGCAATGCAGGAACGGCTTTACGCGACTGACGCAATGAACCGGCTTGAAATCAAGTCTAGCATCTCCCGTTCGATGACTTACTTACAATTAAGAGCAAAGTACAAACGTAAGGTTTCTGAAAATAAACAAACAAGCTAATAAACTTCTCTCTACAGCTTTTCCAGTGTCACCCATCAGTTTATTGTCCAAATAAATCAATTGAGATAGCGGTCGATCTGGTAAAATCCGGAACTGAAGTAGGACAAATGCATAAACACGGCGTGAGTTTCGGATTTTTTCCCCATACCACCTGTTGAGTCGTAGTCGAATAGATGAATTTATCCTTCCTTCATTCAAACAAAACATTAACATTCATAACTGAAGTTTAGAAATAAAAGAAGCTTTCTTAAGTGGGAGGAAAATCTTAATCAAAATGGGTCGTAAAAGACAGGATAACGCTGGCAGCGAGTCCATGCCTGAAACACCCGAGTCGGGCTGGGCATGGGTGGTTCTTGGCAGCGGCTTTGTTGCTACATTTATGGTGGTCGGTTTTCTCTCTTCGATGTCTGTGTACGTTTACGTGTGGATACACGTCTTTGAGGGAAGTGCGGCGGAAACCAGTCTGGTTATTTCGCTCTGCTCGTTCATGGTCGGACTCATGAGTAAGTACATCATATGTTCCTTACGGGATAGTAACATGTAAGTGTGGCATTATACAAGTCAAATTCACAATGTTTCAGATTTAGGAGGTATTTTTGTTTGTATGGATGGCTGCAACTGCTTGTGCTGTGAAACCGCATCCGAACCAGGCGGCTGCGGTTGAGATTAACGCAAGCGCCTATGGGAAATAGCATCAGCCACAAGTCAGTGGCTCCCATAAGCACACGTGTTAAATCCAGCCGCAGCCACAGCTTTCGGACGCAGCCACAGACGTTGAAATGATTATGTGAATGAACCGGAGACCAAGATTCAGGGACAATCACTTATTATGGTTGTGTAGATTTACAGTGTCCGATGAATGATGTAAGAGTGCATTGGTTTATATCCTAAAGATGTTTCCTTTGATCTGGAATTAACCTTCAATTGTTATGACCAGACTGTGACGTGTTGGAGTGCAAACAGGTGTCTTATTTGTTTGTTTCCACTGAGTACATTTAAAATTGGCTGTTCATGCTATACGATTTACTCTATATATTCCTGCAAGAGTCTTACGTAACATTTTACCATATGTACATATAACGGTCTGTACAGACCCTACGCTTGTGTGAAATTAAAAGATTATATGGAATTATCAAGAAACGTAAATAATTTGAAACTCGTGTTTACAAAACTGTATTGTGGATAATAAAAGCTTGATGTCCACGTTAAACCATTGGCAACATGCCGACAGAGCAGGTTTAAAAGTTGAAAGCCAGAACAGGGGTACGGGGCTGGTGACAGATCTTCCTCACCCGACCCTTCAATTTCCTCCAAATTCACCTCCCCCTTGCTCTGCCACCCAACGGCCACTGGTCTAATGTAAACACATCACGCAAGGAGTGCGCATGTACTTGACATTTGTTCTTTTTCTACAGCGGGAAGCGCAAACTCTTAAGCCAGCCGGAAATTCACTGACAGATTGCGAGTGGCAACGCTGTCTCAGCTGCCGTCTGGTATTACAGAATATTCTAACTAATAAATTAGACACTGATTCCATTTTGCTCTCTTTTCTCCTGCTGCCCTTTTTTTATTCAGGTTTTATTTTGTTTCTTTTAATTTTTGTCTTTATGCTAACATGTGGAATATATCTTTCAAGTTCGATTAACCTAATTAACGACTTACATTTACAGGTATTTTATTGTTAGTTTTGTATTTTTTAGTTTATTTGATGGAAACAAAATAGTTTTTAGTGGGGACTGTTTCAAAAAGGAGCGATGCAGGGAATTTTGAACTTGAGAGGAACGTACTGAGGATACTTTTCCCCTAAAACTTCAAACCGTACTGTCTCAGTCTTATTTCACCGCCCTTCCGACACTGAATGCCTAGTTACTTCCATGCATGTATAATAAAGTTTAGTCACTCCAATCACTTAAAATCGCCGCCTTGGCCCACATAACCTTGTTTTGGGCTGAGACTTTCTTCTGTGTTGACTGTCAGTTCTAACCGTTTACTTTGATATTTTTTAGGTCC